GTCTAGGGGTCAGGTGTAACTTTCCAGTTTTGCCCATTAATCTCCAAGGTCCAGGGCAATACTGGAAATTTGGTCTGGTTCAAAGATTCAATTGATCCTACACTGTATGTGCCTAGGGTCTCACCCTGACGGCTGAGACAGGCTACCCCAACCGACTTGGTGGCACATCAGTGTCAGCCTTATCAGGATAGTCTCCCCAGACCGACCCACTGGCTGTGAACATTCTAAACTAACATGAATCTCATTAAGTGTTTAGTTTAAGGGTATTACACAGAAACATACCAAGGGAACATGAATCAAATATGTACTTTTATTCATTTACAATAAACTCATAATGTACATTCTAATTGAAGCTAAGGGCATACAAAACTATCCAACACTTCCCTTACCGTTAGCGTCTGTTAATAGAAAGACAAAAAAGACTATTTTACCCTTTATTCTTCTTCAAAATTTCAAAATAAAACCTTCACTCTCCATTATCAATTTTACCATGTAATCGAAAACCCCTTTTGGTTCAATTACAAGCACTTAATAGTATCTTTGAAAAACTCATTAACGACATCCATGAAATAAGGCAAACGATCAAATAAAACAAAAGCTAATGATCCCATTAAACATCAAAAGAAGAGTATTATTATGGGCAATAAATCAGGTTGAAAATCCTATCTGAAAAACAGAGGAAAACTACAGCTTGTCTGGTGGGCTCTAAAGACTATGAAGAAGCCAATTCTGCAAGTTTTAGCCCCAGGAATGGACTCTCTCCAAGATGGGTATGAAATAGTTCTAGATTATGTAACACATAGCAAAGTGTTTTATGGACCTGGTGGACCATATGCATTGTTAGGTGGGAAGGATGCAAGTAGAGCTCTTGCAAAGATGTCGTTTGAAGAGAAGGATTTAATTAGCGATATCTCAGGGCTGGGAATACAAGTTTTATGAGCAAGTATTTTCTAGTAGCTAATGGACCCTCCCCTGGTGATTCCTTTGAAGTTGTGAAGCAAGATGACGTTGCTAAACCTATAGAAGATGGGCCATCGGAGAACACACCGGTTGATCAAGTGAAGGAACACCATTAGGTCCATCCGGAGGAAGTAAAAGATAGCGAGTAAATCATTTTTTTTCTTGTGAATTACAACATTCGACATTCAAAAGGTATGGGACATGTATTTCGTCAATCTTATTTCCTCTAAGGAGTTCTCTGTTTAGTGTAGTTGAATATTGTAGAGAGAGACATGCTACAACCAACCTGTTGTTGTGTTGGTTCAGTTAAAAACGCTCGCGGCAAAGGTGGAGACGAAGCAGGCGAAGAAGGAGATCCAGGAGAGAGAGCAATGCCGCTGACGAGAAAAACCACTTTCTTGTACTAAAGCCAACGATGGTTTACCAATTCGTGTTCTCATTGACTGGTTTCAGAACCATATGGGTAATTTGAAAAGCCAACGATGATGAGGGCTGCATTTTAGTGAGAGACTACACCTTTGATGGATTTTTCAATATCCAAGCAAAAGTTGCAACAGTGATGAGGGGCCAAAGGTGGATGGGATTATCCTCGCCATTGGTTATCCCAGTTCAATTTGCCATTACCGGAAGGAAGAAGGGGACGAGGGAGGGGTAATGTTGGATTTTAAAAGAATTTTAAACATCACATGATATCACGTGTATATGGGATTTGGCAGAATATTAATGGATATTAACGATAAGAGTAAAGTTATAGCAATATCATCAGCCAATTTTCAAACRGTAAAGATACACGTAATGATCAATTAGCTAAATCATAAGAATAGTTTAAAATTTTTTTGTAAGAGTACACTTATACAGGTAGTCAATAGTTGCCTTATCAGCTATAATTCCAAAACTGTGGTGGTGTTTTAATAGGGATCCACCATCCACGAATACGGCCTCGGTAAACTCTGGGTCTATTTTTAGTATTACGGCTTGAAAGTACAACAGGAACAGCACAAGTCACATTCGCTTAAATGGTTTACTTTTGTCATTTTGTGATTTCTGGGATCCGTGATGCTAGCATTGCCCAGAAAACAAGAGAAAAGAGAAAGAAAAAAGAATTTGGGGCCTTTGGGCATTTCGGCTGTGTATTTCAGTAGTATTTCTGCTTGCTTTGGCTGGCTACATTGCTTGTTCGGTAAAATTCCCTTCGCTTTCCTGGCTTTGGCGCTGCTTGTGGTGGAACTTGGGGAGTAGGTAACGGCAATCGGAGTGAGGAGTTGTGATGGATTTAGGGGAGATGTGGGCAATCTTTGGGCCGGGCTTCGCCGGTGCAGTCTTCGGTGCCGGCTGGTGGTTTTGGGTTGACGCCGTCGTATGCAGCTCCGTTAAGGTTGGGTTCGTCCATTACCTCCCCGGTTTGTATCTGTTTACTTCTTTATCCCTCTCTTCCTCTATTGTTTTCATTCAGATGGGAATTAGGCTTCTGGTTTTCGTCTTTTGCTTCAGGGATCTTTGCATCTCTGGCCGCCTTGATGTTCAACTGCGTCAAAAGAGATGACATTGATTACTCTCCATACGAAGAAGGAGAATGGAGGTCAGTTCTCAATTTCTTATATTTTTTTCCTGTTTTGGGTTTTATCTGTTTCATTTCTTTGCAAAATGTTTTTGTGAAAATCCCAGATTTATTGGTTATGCATGTTCCTTTGAGATTGTTGATAAATCTGTTTTGGTTGTCTTATTTTTATGGGTTTCCAATTTTTGCTACAATCAGAACATTGCATGCCCCCAAGGAAAAGATAAAAAATGGAGCGGGTGAGCGTATTTTGCTGGCTAAATTAGTAATAGTTCTCTGCTCTTTTTAGGGAGAATGTAGTTTAATCTATCAAGAAAAGATAGTTTTAGTGTATACACAGTAGTATGAAATATTTGGGATTTAGCTGTTTAGAATGGCTAGGCAATAATTTCCCTTAATTACATCTTTCTCCACTGGCCATTTGCTATTGTAGATGTGTAGAACACTAGAACTAAGGTTAGATATCAAACTGATACAGCTCAAAGTCATTTATCCATGGTATGATGACTAAGACTCAGTTCTGCTTGGTAGGTAAGAATCACTTAGGATGTGTTTTGTTTGAAAGAAAAGGTAGGGAAACCAATACAAGGTTTGCACAGGTTTCCCTACCTTTCCCTTCCTTTCCCTACTTTTTCTTTCAACCCAAACACAACTTTAGTCTCTGCATTTTATGCACAAACAATAATTCAGATTGGAAAAGATTGATCTAACCATCTGAAGATCAATAACCAGTTGTTCATAATTCTCTATTCATTAAAATCTTGTAATGGCTCTCTTATATATGGTTACATGAGATCTCAACCACATGCTTTAATTATTGAAAATGCTAACCTTTTAGTCAGTAGGGAAGTCATATTTAACCGAACATTGTAAAACGAAGTTTAAGAAGTGAGATCAGAAAAGAAGTTAAATTGGTGCTTATGCAGTTTTGCATGGATATGAGCATGGCTGTTAGAATGTGACGTGTGTCCAAGAGTCTGACTCGGCAAGATGAGAAACTGTGGACAAATATCATGTACAAAAAATGGGTCTCAGATTCAGATGTTGCTTTTCTTACCGAGCAATGTTCAATACAAAAATAAGCTAGTTGATAAAAAGGAAACATTACATTGAAGTGTCCCTCAAGGATCCATCTTGTGTCAAAATCTAACATGTATCCAACACAGTCCATTCCAGATTATGCTTAGTTATAGGCCAATATCTTGCATTACACATGCCCTTTGTAGACCTTGCACATGTCCTTTGTAGGCCCCCCATCAATGGCTTTGTGAAATAGGAGCCACTGCATGGTGTAATGGTAGAATGTCGGGCTCACAAGCATGACAATGTGGATTCAAGTCTGAGAGCAGCCACTTTGTGCCAAAAAAAAATGCAAGGTTGGTCTGTATCCGGTCCACCCCTTCTAAGAGGCGAAGTCCACAGGTTATTTGGCCAATATTGGGTAATGGCCTTTATCAATGGCTTTATGAAATGAATGAACCATGTCAAGTGGATCTGTTATTTATTCTAAATGTCCATGACTTTGGCAAAGCAATTGCTCTTCCTTTCCTCTTTTTTTTTTTTTTTTTTTTTTTTTTTGTTTTTGTGGGGCTTTGTGAAATAGGGGCCATTGCATGGTGTAATGGTAGTCTCGGGCTCAAAAGCATGACAATGTGGATTCAAGTCTGAGAGCAGCCACTTTGTGCCCAAAAAAAATGCAAGGTTGGTCTGCATCCAATCCACCTCTTCTAAGAGGCCAAGTCCATAGATTATTTGGCCAATATTAGGTAATGGTCTATGTTAATGGCTTTATGAAATGAATGAACCATGTCAAGTGGATCTCTTATTGAATTCTAAAAGTCCATGACTTGGGCAAGTGTTAAGGGCCTGCGAATAGGATCTCGTCACAGGTCGGTTAACGGGGAAAACTTCTTGTTTCCCCTTGTTTCTCCCTTTTCTCGAGGAACCTATCTTTAGTGCCTTAATGGTGATTTGTTAAAGAGATCACCAACTCTCCTCTGCTCTTTCTTGACTGAAAATATCGATAATTTTATTGAATATCATCTGCTCCTTTAAATAGGAAATTACAAGAAGATAAGAGTCCTTTAGGAAACTTCCTAACAAACATTTATCTCTAAATAGGAGATAATAATGCTACTGCCTAATAAATAGGAACACTGAATCTAGCTAAGAGATAAGATAGGAACACTGAATCTAGGTAAGAGATAAGATAGGAACACTGAATCTAGCTAAGAGATAAGATAGGAACACTGAAGTTAGCTAAGAGATAAGATAGAAACGCCCATTACTGCTGCTGTCTGCAGCTGTATTTCTTTCCAACAAAAGTATCCAAAATATTACTCCCCTCCTAGACTAAGAGTTTGTCCTCAAGCTCGAATTCAGGATAGGTGTCTTGAAACACAATGAAAGGAATCCAGGTAGCTTCAGCCAATGGTAAGCTGGCCCATTCCACCAGAACTTCAACAACACCTCGATTAATTCTGGAACGAACAATAGACTGAGGTTGGGGAATGATTTTGCCCTCCTGGATCGGGTTCCAATGAAGAGGGTTCATCCTCATCTTCCTCTTGTTCATCCACCAAGAGGCAGAAAAGTCTCTTGCACTTGTGCTCTATTGAATAAAGTTCATCACAATTAAAACATTGTCCCCTCGCCCTCCGTTCCGCCATCTCAGCCCTGGACAAGTACTTAATAGGGGGTGCAACAACGCTGCTTCCCACACTGGATGTCGATCTGGAATTGTTGCTCGTCTGTGGTTTCTGTTCTTGGTTGGCTGCTGAAGATGGAGCCATTCCGAGTGGTTTCGGGGCTGCCCATGCTGTTTGAGGCCACCCTATACTGATACTTCCGCGTTTGAGTTGCAATTTTTGTTCAAAAGCTTGAGCCAAATTCATAGCAGTAACCAGATTAGGGGGATTTTGCATCTCCACATCCACCCTCAAAGTTTCCACTAATCCYGCGGTGAACATGTCAACCTGTTGATCTGGTCGTACCGAAGATGCTCTTGCAAGGAGGGTCTGAAACTAACTCTGATACTTAGCCACAGTTCCAGTCTGTTTGAGGTTGATTAGTTCGCCTAATGGATTGCTTGTTAATGGGGGCCCAAACCTGAGAAGGCAGTAGGATTTGAATTGGGTCCAACTGAGCCCAGGTTCCTCCTGCTCCAATTTATAAAACCAGAGCTGTGCCTTCTCAGTCATGTGGAATGCGGCTAAGCCTACCTTGTCCCTGTCCTCTGTCCGTTGGTTGCGGAAGAACTGCTCACATCTGTACAGCCATCCCAAAGGATCTCCAACTCTATTATAGGAAGGAAATTCCAGCCTACTGTATTTGGGAACGACCACGGTTCCCTGGGCAATGACCTGCTGCTCGCCGGACGATTCTGTCATGTCTGGTCGGCGGCCGTCTGGGATTGCAGCCCCTTCTGAACTCTTTTCCTTGCTGGAAAAATATAACTCCATCAAGCGCCTCAATTCTCGGACGTCCTATTTGGGATTGGGCTGATTAAGAAGGTAAAGCAAACAAATAGATTGAACAAGAGAAAAAAAAAGGAAGATGATTTTAGTCACTAGAGTTGATGAGAACCTGGACACAAAGGTTGAGTAGTTTTTCTTTGTGGGAGTCTGTGTCTTTGGGTATAGGGTCTTGTTTTCAGGGGTTGAGGCTGGAAGGGTGGGTAGCTAGGGAGCTTGTTGATCACAAATAGTGGGTGAGTAATTTTCTGGGTGTTTGTTTGTTTGTTTTGGCTTGAACTTTCTATTTATGTTTCTTTGGCTATGGGAAGTGTCAGTCCAAAGAATAGAGGAGGGTTTAGGTTGAGGTTTTGCTTCTTTTTGGATGATTCCTTATCATGTATTGTAATCTCTTTTTTTCTCTATCTTAATATGATTTTTTTATTTATTTTTCTGTTTGCTGGAATACAGCAGCCGAAGAAGAAGAAGAAGAAGAAGAAGAAGATGAAGAGAAGAAGATTTGAGAAAGGCAGCTATATCTCTTCAGCCAGCCCTACACTCTTATATAGATGATTATAAAATAATGTTACATTAATGGACTAGAATGCCCCTGACTAGTGATGGGACACCTAGACAAATAAAACAAATAAAACATTAAACAAGTTTAGGCCCAATAACTAAGAACTTAAGACACAAATATGACTAACATA